TCCTGCATTTATTGAAGATTGTCAAATAAACATAAGATTGCAGCCACTCCATCCTTTTATTCCTGTATTACCACTCTGAGGTTTTGATTTCTCTTACATCTAGTGGGATATTCTGCTATTCTTATGAAAGTATCATCTCACAAGATCCTAGCTTTCCTGTCATTTAGAACCAAGGCTATTTTCCACATGTCATAAAATAGTACCACTGACAATTTATAGTGGTTCAATCCTGGACTGTAAGTCTGTACTGTTACCTAAGGTAAGCTGGATACTTATGGGAAGCAAATGGAAATAGGCCAATGATGGCTGTATTGGGGCCTCTAATCTATCACTCTAAAAGGCTCTGAAAACTAACATTCCTTTCCATACATCTGCATGGAAATTCTGAAAATAGTACGACTTGCCAATGGAATGCTGTGCCCTTAATAGCATGAGGCAAATCCAGACTAAAAAACAGATACTGTGGGCAAGACTTAAATGGGAAAATATGGTTCAATGTGGGGGTTTGAGATAATTTTCTCATATATCTTAATAGCTGTAATTCTCCATTCTTAAAATGAGTCAGAATGATGCCCTTCCCTCTGTAAAAATTCACAATAAAGTACTAGATTTAAGGTAAACTCTAGAAAAGGTAGCTTGCTTACAGACTGTTTTGATTTTTTACTTTTGTATATACCAGGTGAATTGGCTGAATTCAAAAGCCAAGGAATGGCCCGAGAGATCAACTTACCAAGGCCACTGGGGATTGGAGACAGATAGCAGGTGGCATCTGTTGAAATATCTTCCAGCTGTTAGATTAGTACCAGGCAAGCAAGAGGGAAAGGGTTTGTTTTTGTTTTGTTTTGTTTTGTTTTTTAAAAAAGGCTTAATTCCTTTCACAATTTAATGTAAGTATCTCTTAAAGGGATAAAGAAAAAATAACCATACCCCAAGAATGGTAATCCACCAGCCTATGAAAACAAACTGGAACTCAAGAGGCTCTCCTGGAGTTAGACTGGTGAAATTCAAATCTTAAATTGCTTCAGTTACTGGCAAGGTGTACACTTGAAGCCTTTCTGTTTTGAGTAGCCAGGCATGAGCGCTTGTCCCAGAATTCCCTCACACGGCCTTGGGATATAATTCCTAAACCTACTTGACAAGTACTAAAGTATCTTGTCCTCTCCAGTTTCTTCTAATTATACTCAGAGGCCATCTTTTAAATTGGTTTGATTTCAACATGTCCTTCTTAATGCCCACTGTCAGTTTAGGAATGTTCAAATTCTAGAGTGTATACTTTTGAAAGAAGGGGAAAATAATTGCTATTTTCTCTTCTCAGCTGGTAAACACAAATGAAAACTTGAGCAAAAGTCGAAAGATTCTCCGGTCAATGTCCAGAAAGTAAGTTTTAGAAATAGTCACAAAATTAATTTCTCTTAACTCTCATGCCTTTCAACCAAGAGTGTAAAAGCTTTAAACTGTGACTTGCAAAGGTTCTAATAAAGCTGAAGAAATAAAGAATATTGTCTTGTGTATTTAAATATCCCAAGGCAAAATCTTTTGTTAAAAGTATATGCTGCTCTGATTTGGAACCGTGTAAAATTTGTCCACTGAAAGCATATATATATATATGAAAGGGAGAGAGAAACATAAATGACGAGAGTCATTGATCCGCTGCCTCCTGCATCCCCTGTAGCCGGCAACCAGGCATCAAACTGTGACCTCCTGGTTCATAGGTTGACACTCAACCACTGAGCCACACTGGCTGGGCCACTGAAAGTACTTTTGTTCCCAGCTTACATTCCTTAGAGAGAACAGCACATGGGAGTAATACAGCTTCATATTCGTAAAAACCTGATTAAAAAACTATTTTCACTGCTCCTGCTTAATACTTGCTTTTGGCTCTGCTTGCTCTTCGTCAGAGTCAATCCCTTACCTGGGAATTCTGTCTTGTTAGCAAAAAGTTGTTCAAAAATCCTTGATGTACGTGCTGACAACAAAATGAATTTGGGGTAAGTGGTAGTATGCATGGATCAAAATCACAACTGAGTCATGGAATTATCAGGAGAGTGAAATTTTCCTAAACAGTTGTAAGTAAATTCCTTATGGAATAGGGGAAACCTTCAGTTTAGAGTGAGCATGAGAACCAGAGATTGGATTCTTGGTATTAACAAAAGACAGTAGATTTTTCTTTGAAGCTCCTATATTGCCTTTGTAGAGAAATCCTGGGGGAAAGAGAAAGTAAGAGAGGTACTACCCAGCTTCTGGTTACTTAGCACCTGTCCCCGAGCTGCATGTCAGCCCTGGCGAGTCTGCCACAAATACTTTTCTAACATATGCTCACAACTGTAGTATGTAACTGATACGGCTCTATATGATTAGATGATACTGTGTTACTGCTAATTTTGTAATATGATTCAACCGGATTTCAGAATAGGTATTTTGTCCATATTATATTTAATACTATTTTCCTAACTAGACCCTCCTAGAAAAGCTAGTTCTAAAGTGAAGTAGCAGCCCTGGTCGAGTGGCTCGGTTGGTTGGAGCATCATCCTGTACACCAAAAGGTTGCATGGTTTGATCCCTGGTTGGGTTGCGTTATGGGAGGCAGCCTCTCACATTGATGTTTCTCTCTCCCCCTTCCTCTCTCAAGTCAATAAAAACATGTCCTCAGCTGAGGTTTTAAAAAAATAAAGTGAGGAAGTAACTACTATTTGAAGACATTTTAGAATAAAAAACCACTTATACCTTTGATATATATTGTCCCAGTTTTCAACATTTCTGGGAGGTAGATAGTGCTTTTTCTCTGTGATAGCTAAAGAAGCTTTCGAGTTGTCACTTAACCAGGTAAAGAACCTTATACTGGCATACCTTGAGTTATTGTGCTTTGCAGATACTGCGTTGTTTTTTGTTCTTGTCTTTTTTACAAATTGAAGGTTTGTGTCAAGCAATTTATCAGTGCCATTTTCCAATAAGCTCATTTTTAAATTAAGGTATGCATGTGTTGTGTTTTTTTTAGACATAATGCTATTGCACACTTACTAGCCTATAGTCTAGTGTAAACATAACTTATATGCATCGGGAAACAAAAAAAATTTATGTGACTTGCTTTGTTACTGTATTCGCTTTATTGCAGTGATCTGGAATCAAACCCGCAATATTTTTGTGGTATGCCTGTGTATACTCATTGCTAAGTGGCTATGAGATCAAACAAAAATTCAGTCTACCTCACAGTGTCTAGTCTTGGTCCCAAGTCAAACCTTAATGTATTGAGAATGGAAAGAGCCCAGCTGGCAGGGCTCAGTGGTTGAGCACTGATCTATGAACCAGGAGGTCACGGTTCGATTCCCGGTCAGAGCACATGCCTGGGTTGTGGGCTTAGATCCCCAGTGTGGGGCGTGCAGGAGGCAGCTGATAAATGATTCTCTCTCGTCATTGATGTTTCTATTTCTCTCTCCCTATCCCTTCCTCTCTGAAATAAAAAATATATTTTAAAAATAAGAATGGAAAGAAATAAGGTTATCCAGACTTCTGACTGCTCACTTGTTTGTGTTTGTAGAGTGACAACCAACAAGCTGCTACTTTCCATTGTCATCTTACTGGAGTTAGCCATCCTGGGAGGCCTGGTTTATTACAAATTCTTTCGCAAGCATTGAACTTCCTGCACGGAAGGGTTTGTGGACCAGAACTTTGACCCTGAGAATGAATAGTGTTACAGATGTGGAATAAGTGTATTGCTGCTGTGAGCTAACAGTTCAAGGATGCACTGTGTAGCCAGACTGTGGGACGAGGGAGGGAAGATGGAAAACCAGTTAATGTGAAGAAACAGCAACCAGAACTGTGTGAGAGGGAGATGGAAGATGGAAAACCAGTTAATGTGAAGAAACAGCAACAAGACCAGTGTAATATACCAAGGTAATAAATGCTGTTTATGACTTCTTTAAATTTACATGGTACTCCAACATATTAATACCCTGTGAATTGCAAAAAAAAAAAAAAAACCCCAAAACCCACAAATACATTTACAGTAGTATCATTGGTCACCAAAATGGAGATGGAAAGGAAATTTTACAATTGCAAGAATACACAAATGTTCTCATTAAGGCAGTATTGACCCAGATGACCATGTAGTATCTGCCCCCT